GTCATATTCCAAATCACCAGCCTAAATCTATCCCATTGGCTAAGAGAAGTTGCTTTAAGTTAGCTCAAGCAGAGAGGCCAAACATGGGAAACAGCAACACTCAGAACCAGAGAGGAGAGAGGAGAGAAGAGAGAGAGAGGGAATTACACAGTGATGTCACTATGGGGGTGCTGGGGAAGTGGAATACACACACTAATATTTCAGAGGGATACTACCAGAATTATTACAGGTTATGCCATGGTGGTGCCAGGCATCATTGCAGGCATAGAGACTGACAAGACAGTAGCATCATTAGGGTTGATGTTACCTGCCACTTAGTGTGGTAAGTCATCATTACCACCACCCTGCATCCAAGTAGGTTATATATTCCTCCCCCTATGATTGGCAGACAGTGGCATCAACCATTAGTAAATGGAAGAGGGAAGTAGCTTCTAGGGTATCAGAAGGTAGGGCCAATTGGACTACACTAGGCCTTGCCCATGAGGTTGGAGTGGGGTGTCATACCATGACTTAACACACTAGATTACAACAACCCTAGTGACACCACTATTATCAGAGTAACTAAACCAAAATGGGAGTAAGAAAAGGAGAGAGAAAAAATAGGGAAAGAGTAGTAAAATGAACTTAAATGGAGTGGCTTTTTTGACAGTGTTAAGGTACAGTAGAACAGAGAGTCCTTGGCAAAGTTGAAGCATTGGTCTCTGGCCAAATGGCTTTATTCTAGTGACCTTTATACAGCTAACCAAGTACGTTCAGCACAGACCAAATTGAGAAATGCATACATAAAATTTTAAAGATGAATAAAACAGCCCAGTAGTGGGGAACTGATCAAAGACCTTCCATGTCCTTCATTATGGCTTATGAGTTGATTGCTGTTCTAACCTGCAACAACACTCCCTTCAGAATTTTAGAGGTTAGGTGAGCAAGGATGAAGGCTGATAACTCCAGAACATTCCCTCCTCTCTGCCAAAGGCAAAGTCCAATTAAACAGAATAAGGAAACTGGCAGTCCTGGCGAAGTCATGACCTCAGTAAAAAGAAGCTAACTTTAAACTCTAGCCAAGTACCACTCTGATGTCAATCATAGAACTTTGTTTTCCAGAATGGCAGAATAGAGTGGCAATAAAAACCCTATCTATGGTTACTAAATCTTCTCCCTGCCTCTTTATGAAATTTATTGAAAAATTTCTCCTAATGATCACTTATCATCTATAACTCTAAAAATTACTGCCTTTCTTCTCCAAGTGCTTCCTATCACTTTACTAGATGCCTATTGTTATTCCTGTACCCCATTGCTAAGAGTAAATTCAGTTTCTTTCCTTCATACCCCAAGGTACAAGCAACAACAGACTCTGGTGTCTCAAAATCTTCCTTGAAAGAAAACAAAATGTGGAAAAGGAAAACCATTAATTGGACACTATGGAAGACTGATCCAGGAGTCTATCTACCAGGATCCATTCTCTAAACCCAACTTCATGTTGACACATGATGTTTTTGTCCGACCCTTAGTATTTTCAACAGAAACCCAAACTCTAATTATACCTCATAATTCCCAAAGGAAACCAACCTCAAATTAAATAAACAGAAAAAGATACAGGTTTAGCTCTTCATTGCTTATTCAGATTAAGACCCCGTTGAGATACAAACTATTTACCCTACATAAAAACCTCTGTTTTTCAAAGTCGATTTTAGCCTCAAGTTACAGCAGCATAAAAGGGTCTGGAAATATTTGAAGCTACAATCTTTTAAAAAATTTTTACTCTAAGTATTTCATAAATACAAATTTATTCCTAGAACAAGCTACAGGAGTGTCCTCTTATCCCCTCTGATAGTACTCATAGGACCTAATGATAAGTAGGCAGTGTGTCACCGAGGTTATATCGATTTAATCATAGCCATTTCAGAACAAAGTGCACAGGTTTTATCCTATTACACATAAATCACAGGCCAATTATCTTTACTATCAGGGAGGGCATTCAAAATATTTTAAATTTAGAAATAAAGGACAGAGAAAGACATACATTTTTGATGGCCTTCACAATAAATATGAATTGATTTTAACTATTCACTGGAAGGTAACACAGTAGAAAGTATATGGATGCTACTGTCACAAACACCTAAGCTCCAATATAAGCTGCACTATTTTTATGGCTGTATAAAACTTTGTTGAGCCAGTTTTTTCATGTCTAAAATGAGGTTATCGCCTTCTCCAAGACAGGTATGTCCCCTCAACCTCCGGACATGAATTTCCGTTAAGATTCATTACGCACCATTGTAAAAGTGTCTGCTTATTTGGGGTGACTTTAGAACAGTGTTATATGGCAGGAACTGATTAGTGTTCTCTATTTCTTCCCAACATAAGAAATTGACCAAACCTGAGGTGAGGCCTCCTTTATGGAAGTACTATTTAAGATGCACAAATACATGGTTCATGACCACTTGGTAGATACTCCATCTCGTTGCTTAGGAGATGGGATTAGAAGATTAGGTGCATCTGAAAACAGATGCATGCATTTGTCTTGTTGCTTATCCTTAGAATAGTAGTCTCGTACAGTATAGATTGACTAACTTTACTTAGCATAATGGTTTCCTGGTCCATCCACGTCATGAGGTGTTTTTTGGTTTCATCACTTTTTTTCCAGGGATGCATATTATTTCATTGTGTATATGTTCCAGAATTTCTTTATGCATTTTTATACTGATGGGCATTTGGACTCTTTCCAACTTCTTGATATTGTGAACATGGGAGAGCATATGTCTGTTTGTGTGTATCTCTTATATCCAGCAGAGTTATTGTTGGGTCGAATGGGATTTGTATTCTTAGTTGTTTTAGGTAGTGCCGGACTGCTTACCACAATGGCTGTATATGTTTACAATCCTACCAGTAGTTTGTAAAAGTTCCAATTTCTCTGCATCCTCTCCAGTATTCTTTATTCTTTTTAAATTGGGCTATCAATGTGGGTGTAAGGTGATATAACACGTTATGTTGTGTTGATTTACATCTCCTAAATACCTAGTGATTTTAAGCAATTTTTCTTGTGTTTGCTATCCATTTGAGTGTCCTTTTTGGTGAACTGAATATTAAGGTATTGAGCATGGGTTAATCTGGAGAGATTCAAGGAGAAATGTAAGTAACAATGATCAGAAAGTACTTGGAAATCTTAGATCAGCAAAGAAGTTAAAAGTATCCTGAGAAGTCTGGAAAGTCCTTTTGTAGGACTGTGCTATTGAAAAAGACAGTAAAGAGTGAAGAATCTCCTTCCCTCTGCCCTCAAGTGTGGACATTTTATGGTGACATTTGAAGCCCTGGGTTCATTGATCTTTTAAAGCTCAGAAGAAAGGCTACTCAAAAAAGGAAGCATAGTCAAAATTAATTAAACTTTGCTAGTTTTGTGGTAGGCTTAGAATATATCTCGGATCCTCACAACAAAACTGTGAACTACATATTCAACTGCGCTTATATATAAAGCTCTTTCTTATACACATGAGTGTGCCTATGAATTTGTTTCTCTAGTCTACACAGACCTTGGGAGTGGGGTTCTAAAGAAACAAATCATAAAGATGGAGAGTAGATGTTTGATTTCTGCTTCATGTTAGTGTTTCTTCTTAGGCTAGCTAGAGGTCAGATATGTCCATGAATTTTACTGGGTTGTTTTCTGGAAAGAATGTGGGAATTTAAATTTTGATTCCTAGAAATTGTCTTTGGTTAATCCTGTCTGAAATGGTGAAAATGATTGAGATAAATGTGAATCTAGAGCTCAGGTGTCAAAATTGACCCTTGAATTTCTCAGAGCTCCTTAGGGAAAATGACTGACAGAAGGTCAAGATGGCTGGCAGAAAAAAAAAGCAGAAAGTCAGGCTCTGATTTAATGCTATCAGAGTCCTAATTCCATATTCTGTATCAAAATAATAATTTAGATAAGGATTTAGATAAGCTAAATAAGAATTGAACTTGACTGTTTTAAAAATTGAGTTATTGAGATTTAGATCAACATTCCTTATACTGGTGCTTATTATTGTTGATATAAGAATTTATAGAAATGATATTGGGAAGCATGAAAATAGAGCCCACTTGCCTTGAGTCATTAAAATTCGATCTTTAAGTGTGTTTAGAACATGCCTGCAAAGAAGGCTCTGAAAAGATAAGCCCCACACTGTGCTTTGGAGTACTCAGGACATTTGCATTTCAAAAGATTTGCCTGGGGGCTGTTGACAGATTGAAGAAAAAGGGAATTCTTTGGAATTTTGAAGTTTGAGATAGTGGTTTTTGTCAAAAGCTGGAAAAAAAATCTGAAATCATGAAGAAAACTCCTCTCTAGGACTGAAGGTTAAAGGGAACCTGTGGCAGCCTGAAATGCTTGCTAGGTGACCACCTGGATCCACTTATTGAGTAAAAGTGGGAGAAAAGCAGCAATAGAGAGACAGGTTGAGTCTGGCCACTGACACGCGTGGACCTGATTTACAGAAACTAGAAGAGAAGACAAGAAGGGGTTGACTGATTCTGAAGTTCATGACCTAGCACAAGGGGGCTAGGCTTGTTGAGAATTTGTGATGAGCCCATGGTCTAAAAGTGAGGTGATGAGGCTAAGTGAAGCCGCCCATAGTGATTTGGCCAGATCCGACCAGATGAAGAGAAGATTATTCAGCCTGTGTGCTGGTTAATATTGCTACTGACTTTATGGACGGCCTGCTCTGATTTAGCTTTGCTTATGGATGCAGATATCACAAGGTTCCAACTGGAATGAAGATTCTTTGCATCAAAGAATGTGTATCTCCTCAGAGCACTGGGTTGATGCAAGTGGGCAGTATAGAAATTGGATATCCAAAATTCGGAGCATAAAGGCGTGAAGTGATAGAGTTATAGGATTAAGGTGTAGGAGTTCACATAAGCATAGCACATTTTTGTTTTGTTCACTGATAGAATGTTGTACTTAAATGAGGGTGGCACATTTTAAAAGTGTATGCATTTTAGTTTCTCTTCTTTTTTTTTCAAGCCCCCTAAGGGGCTGCACCGTTCCTGGAAGTACTGCAATACCAGGTTGATGTGTGGAGTGGATGGAGCAAGCTCCTAGTCCAACTCCTATTTGCAAAAATACATTTAATGTGCTGTCATCGGATAGAGGATGTATCAGATATTAAACTGATAAGAACAGATACTGCATTTTAGTTTTATCCTATTAAGTACAGATATGATTTTATTTTTGTTTGTTTGAAACTTATATATGGCTAAAGAGTTATGTGAAACTGTCAAATTGAAAAGGGGTGGTCTAATGTGTTAGTCTGGGTAGACAAGGGAAACAAATCCATAGACACTCATATCTGTATAAGAAAGAGCTTTATATATAAGAGCAGTAAAATATTGAGAAAACATCCCAGCCCAGTCCAGATAAAGTCCATAAGTCAGATTTTAGGCCATATGTCCAATACCAACCTATAAAGTCCTCTTCAGACTCATGAAACACATGTAATGACGCTGAATGCAGGAAGATTACAAGCCTGTGGGTTGAAGGTCTTGTGGACCCAGGGGTGTTGTGAGCATCTCAGCACTTGTAGGGGTCTCCATGTGGCTCTTCCAGCTCCAGAGTTTTGGCTCCATCAGGCTCTCTCCATGTGTCTTCTCTACAGGCATGTCTTGCAGGGAATGAGCATGTGTCCTTCCTCCAGCGAGCTGTTTATGTACTTAGTACCTCCAAATGAGGTCATCAAGCTGTGACCTGATTGACAGCCCAGAATCAACCCCTTCACTCTGAATCCTCAAATTGACACCAGGTTATGTAACTACAACACTGATAAACCAGGGATTGGGCAACATGCTTCTATAGAAAGCCCATGGGAGAAAAACAACCAAATCAAACACACTGCAATTCAACCAATGCTAACTCATTATGACTTTGTGGGTCACAGAGAGTCTCAGCAGAGCACTGGGTTGATGTAAGTGGGCAGTATAGAAATTGGATACCCAAAATTTGGAGCATAAAGGCATGTAGTGGCTGGCTTACAAACTTTCATAGTTCAATCTTTCTTCTGAGGGACTGCTGGTGGTTTCAAAGTGCCAACCTTGCAGCCCAATGATTAACCACTACACCACCAAGGCTCCTCCCAATGGGAGAAAATGCCCAGTATTATTCTCCTAACTGGGAACTTTAAACAAAATTCCTATCTAGTCCAGGCTGCATACTATAAACAACTGGGACGTTAGATTGTCCTTTCAAGATGTACAACATCATACAAAGGTCACACCAAAACGTTCTAACTTGGAAACCCCAATAAATGAACTGGATTTTACCTTGAAAACACCCGAAGCAGATTAAAAGAATTTAAATACTCCCTTGGACTTAAGGCTGAAGCAAGCTGGAGTGAAAAGAAGCAGATGACTACTATCCCAAGGTTATGATTTGGAAGTCATTGGAATTTGATTCAAATGTCTTGCTTTGAGGGTGCCCAATAAATAGCAACGCAATAATACCATATACTTGCAACTTTTTGCTTTTTTATCACATGTCTTCGGCTAGCAGGCATAGTTCTGCTTTTGTAAATGAGCAATATTGGAAGTTTTTCCCTATCTCTAACCGTCATTGTTTGCATTAATAATATTTAGGCACTTAAGTTTTAATTTAGTAAAAGTCGACAATCCATGAATTTTAGTCTAAAAAGCTGTCATATAAGTACACTTTCCTTTTCCAAACAGTGCTTTGAATCTGAATCATTGGCTAAATTAATGATACTATCAGTAGAATTAACATATGCCCCAAGGTGATGATTTATAATGTTGTGCAATAAAGTACTAAGAATGTCTCTAAAACGTACAAATTTTAAACTTGCACTTAATCATCGTAAACCTTAATTTAAGAACAATTGGTTATTACGAGGAAGGCCTACTGGATATTTGTCCTCAGGAAAAGATCATTGAAGATATTCTATTCCAAATTGTGGTGAAGAAATCAGATGGTGCCCAGCTATCAGAAAGAATAGCACCTGTGGTCTTAAAGGCTTGTCTTAAAACAAGCAGATATCACAGTGAGGTGTCAGTGAAGTCCACAAGGAGAAAGCACTCCAGCCTGTGTGATCCCAGGATTGAAAATAGTAAAATCCATGACTGAAGGAGGGAACAGAATTAGGGCTAGATTCTGAGCAATCTGTTTGCAGACGGTTATAAATGACAATGAATGCCCCAAATCCATTAGTAGGATCCCCACATGGATTAAGCCTCTATGATCATAGACTAGGGATGTAAATAGCCTTCCTAGCTGACAGAATGCATTGTAAAGTAGACTCTGCAAATGTAATTAGGTTAAAATTTAATACCTTATGACCTGCTCTTCCTTTGGGTTCATTTTAAAGTTGTTCTAGTCTTTAATATTATGTTTCCATTTTGATAGAGATTTTTCTCTGTTGTGTTTGTTTTATGTTGTTGGACTTTGTTTATTGTTTTTGCATTTTCCTGTATATGAAACCCAGGATAGATAAATCCACAGAGATAGTAACACGACTAATAATTTCTTAGGGTTATGGCAGGGAGGTTTGTGGGAAATGGGAAGATAATAATAATAAGTACAAGAAAGAAGAAAATGTTACAAAATTAATTGTGTTGATGATTACCCACTCTTTTCAAACATGATTAAACTGTTGAATTGTATGATATGTGAATTATATGTAAATAAAACTTTAAAAACAATATCTATGTTTCTATTGAGAAGACATTTTCCGATATAACCTCTGTTACATATGTGTAGTTTATTCAATAGTACTGTGTATATACTGGACAAACACATCCTTATTTTAAACATATAGTCTTCCTAGATGTCTAGAAGTGCACAAAGTATGTTAAAAGTAGAATTAGGAAAGAACATATTTTGTATATAACCTTTTGTTAAAATTCATATAAATTAGTGTCTTTTGGAAATGTCATTGCCAAACTGCCTCTCTGCTCAGTATATGTTTGTGTTTGTTCATGGAGCTATGAGAAGAAAGCCCAAAGGGTTCTACCAATATGTTTATAGTGAGGTAAGATGAACCATAATCCCGCATGTTCTGTGTATTTTGTATTATTTTTATGTGTATCTACTGTATAAAAAGAATAAATCCTAAATTTACAACATCTAGTCTTCCTAGATATTCAGGAAGTTGCCAGTGTATGAAAAAAAGTGGACTTAGTAAATTAATAATTTTGTACATTTTATGTTCAACTTCAGTACAATAGCTTGTGGAAGTGAAATTACGTATATCCGCTGAAGTATTACGGATGCTATTTTTTTGTCAACTGAGTTGATAGGGGTGAGGGTGAGGGGTTCTCAACCAGAATAATTATTTAGAAGACATTTTCTGATTCAAGCCTTTGTTACATATGTGCAGTTGATTCCAACATCTGTGTGTATAGTGGACAAACTTAAGTCCTTATTGAAAACATCTAGAAATAGTTCTTCTAGATGTTTAGAAGTGCACATTATATTAAGAAAGGATGTAAAGTAAAATCCTTTAAAAACTATTTTTGGGGTCATAATTCATAGGAATGGTTGCATTTGGAGGATGGAATTGCTCATTTTGATGTCTTAGAGACAATATACTGGGTATTGGGGTGTTAGTGGAAAAGGAGATGCAGAAGGAAGAGCTCTCTGCCCAGAGTTAGACAAGATCATATTATTTTTTATATGTGCATTTTAGTTAATATTGCTGTGTGTTAAAGCACAAATAAGCTCTAATGTTCAAAATTGGGGGAGTAAAACAACCTCTTCGAAGGCCTGTTGTCAATTGTAGGAGTTCCATCAAGATGGCGACCAAGTAACACATACCAGAGGGACTCTGGAAATCAGCCAGGAGAGCCACTGAGAGGGAAACTTCACTCTTCCAGGTCACAGGAGGAGCATCATAAAGTTAAGTAGACTCAGATCCACTAGGTTTTGAAAAGCTGTGGGCTTTTGGCTTACCATTTCAGAAGCTGGCTGGGGCTTAGGTTTAGGCCAGCCACAGTCTCAGCAGACACCAAGCTACTTTGGCAGGCCCAAGGGCTTTTCTTCAACACAGCCACACCTGTCACTGCCTTGGGGAAGGGTTTAAACTCCTCCAGTCCCCCAATCAGGTGGTAAGGGCTCATCTATTTCTTCCTTAGTTTTTTTTCTTCTTCTTCCCAATTCTTTAAAAAACGAACAGAAGAAACTCATCTATTTCTTCGCTTTTCTATCTCTTTCTTCTCCTACACAGTTGCGGTGGGCTCAGTTTTCTTTTTCCCTCTCCTTTCAAATGCCACTGCTGGCCTCTGGGGCACTTCCCTTCACCTAGGGCAACTCCACGCACCATCAACCAACTTTGGGGAGCTCCTGCTTGTCTTCTGTGCTTTACACATGGCTGGAAGGACTCCTGCCCACTTTTCCCACCACCCTCTAAGCCCTTTCCACCACACCATGCTGCTGCAGGAAAGTTCCACCCGACCACCATGATAGCAAGACTAAGGAAAATCTGCCTGCCCTCCCTGGTGCACTACATCAAAATGGGCAAACCCGCCCACCCTCTGTGGCACTTCTGTTGCAGCGGGCACCCCCGCATGCCGTTGGAGGTACCACAAATCACTGTGGGCCACAGCGCCATGGCTTCCTGTGAGATAATCCAGCACAGTTCCGTACTTGCAGACCCACAACCACTCAACCAGCACCTCATGAGAGGACCATCTACCTGACCTTCCAAATAACAGAATACAGGTTGAATAAGGAAAGAGTGAAGCCACAGGAGGATAAATCAGTAGCCCAAGTCCCCAGCGCAGTTAGCTGCAGGTAGTTCAAAGAAGCATTCCTATGAGTCTCCCAAAGAGAGAGCCCAGTGCTCTTTGACTCTCTAGAAAATGGAACTGGGCACATCTTAAACCACACACAAACAGCAACCCGCACCAATAACCTCAACGAAAAAGTAGGAGAAACAAAAGGCAATGTTGAAAGAAGTCCTGACATGACAGCGTGCATAGAAGAAGCAGGCATTGATCTGCCAAAGAAAGAAATCTTCAAAGTGCTGCTTGAAGTCTTACAGGTTCTGAGGGAAGCAATACAGAAAAAGGATGAAATGATAGAGACGTTAAAGGCCACACCCAAAGGGAAATACAAGACCTAAGGGATAAGAAAACAAAAGGTAGTAGCAAATTCTCAGATTTTTCCAACAGACTTGGCAGCAGGGAATCAAATCAGTGACCTAGAGGATAACCAGGAA